AGGTATGGTGTGACATCACCAGTGGGGCGACATGACCTGTTTAAGAGCTTGCAAAGATCACCAGCCAATTAAGAATTTTTTTAAAGATAAGGAACACAGTGACTACGGGAACCGCTGAAGAATGAGAATTCAAAGGAAGAAGAATCACAACGACAGTACAGGGGGCCGGAAACTTAAAGGAGATGCGCAAAACGGATAGGCACACAAACAGCAGAATACTGAGAATAGTCACTACCTTTTTTTCCTTACCAGGATCAAGTCAATCGACATACCGAGGTACTGGAGTTCGACCCGGCAGAATGTGGATGGAAGGTGTATAGCAGTATATACATAGCACTGTATATGTAGCACTGTATATATAGCGCTGAGTATATAGCACTGAATATATAGCACTGCAGAATCGTGCAGATGCTATGCACCATTCTATGCCAGCCACTCATGTGCATACGAACGAATGGTGTACAGCACTGTAGAGCAATCAAGGTAGTACAGAGCTTGACCGGGGAGATTGCGGAGGGTGTATAGCACTGTACAGCACTGCAGATGCTATACACCTTTTTGTGCCTGGCACTCTCGTGCGTACTCATGACTGGTGGTGTATAGCACTCCAGTGCAATCGAGGTACAGAGTTTGACCCGACAGAATGCGGAGGGCGTATAGCACAACTCCATAGCACTGCAGATGCTATACACCATCAGATTCTGTGCCTGCCACTCACAGGGGTACTCGCGAGTCGCGACTGGTGTATAGCATTGTCTACTACCTTAAAAAGAACCAGCCCCCAGTATGTTGGTCACACTTAGGGAATTATATACTAATATAGTAATATAGTGTACATCGGGGGGTACTCGCAAATCATGAATAGTTCCAAAGAGCCGGCGAAAATTATTGCAGCAAGATGGAGAAAACACACGCATCTGGTCACATCTTCCCTCCTTTTTTTTCTTTTTTTTTTTCACATCTTCCCTCCTCTTTGCATAGAACTTCATAAACTAAACATTTGACCAAAAAAAAAGCAGAGCAGCGCTCGTCACAGGGAATTGCAGACGCAATTGGGAAGATGATGAGCATTGAGCAATGAGCAGCACCAGCGCATATGCAATGACTTGCTGTTTTCTGGTCATCCGTAGCCTCTCTCTGTCAAGGCTGTACTATAGGTAGGACAGATTCGTAATTTTGTTTGGCTGAGGGCTAACCGAAAGACCTGCCTGTACGGAAATCCGGTAGGGACATATCTGCAAAGTTGGGAAAATATAGGCCCATACTAACGGGAATTCCTACAGCTACCGTAACTGCGCATAGCAAGCCCGGGCTACCCCTAGGACAGACAGGCCCTCAGGGCCTAAGCTGATAGACGGTCCTATAGCCTATAGCCGGGTAGGGAGAGGCCCTAGAGGCCGAAGCAGAAAAGGTACCAGTCGGTCAGTCAGTCCGGTCTAGGTCGAGTCTAGGCTAGTTTAGACTATAGATGGTATGGGCACATCGGTTCAGGGCTTTTGGCAGTTGGTACCCAGTACATCGCTGCTGCGCAACGCGTGAACCGGAAGTGGTGACGACTCATCGTGGAAGGAGACAGACATAGCCAGACCTTCGGAGCGCCGGCCATAGCTGGGACCTGCGCTGTACTTTGTCAGCACGCGGGGCTGTACAGAGGTCTGGGTTGTTGAGGTCTGCTGGAGGCGAGAGAAGTTGGTGCCCTGCTGGACCCTCCTCCGGAGTGGGGTTCCAGAGTTGTGGCGCTGCAGCCATAGCTGCAGCATCTTCCACAGAGATCATCTTGCCAGGAGTGGTGGCGCTGCTGCAGACTTCCACCCGGGAAGTCTTCCGACACTTCGCCATCATCAGATACTGGGCTGGTCTTCTTTTTCATCCTCTGAGTGGCGCTTGGCCTCAGAGGCCTGTTTCAGGGTGGCGCTTCCCTTTGGAGGTTGTACCTGGGTGGCGTTGATGTTTCAGGGACTCAGGGGTAGTGATAGTGGTTCATCAGGGTTGGGGAGTGAAGCGCTGCTTGGGAGTGAAGCGCTGCTCATCTCTGAGCAGCACATCATAGTTCTGAGGTTATTCTGACAATTCGAGACTCTTGAGTTTCATAAACAGTGTTGATACTGGGTTTGGACTATCATCGTTTCATTGTTTTCATGGATGTGATCTACTCGGCTTCCCTTTATGACTGGTTGTGAGGATTGAGTGGAGTGAATTGCACTTTCAGTGTACCCTGTCATATCGCATGGTCAAGTCGTTCGCTGTGTTTATCTCTCCCTGTGCGTTGTGATACTCCTATCCTCTCCCCTTCCTTCGGTGTATGTATGGGCATACCTGGGAGTCTATGTGAGCGAGTGTTGGTCTTCAGACAACAGACAACCAGAATCATAACACATACATGTCTTGGGGTAAAGTTCAGTGAAACCTCACTTGAAAGCTTGAGAAAAAGAAGAAAAAAAGACAAAAAAAATTAAGCTCACCCGAAAGCTCGCCCAGCCCACTTGTCCACACGACACCAGTGCTCAGACCCTTGGCGTCCTCTTCAACCCCGCTCCTCGTTGACGGACCGCCTTCTGCGTTCTCCACGTAGGTTTCCCGGACAGCAACTGCTGCTGGAGTCCATCCATCTGCTGTGTCTGCTGGCATTGGCTTTGTGTTGGCAAGCACGAACTTCAACCCGCCCTCAACCTCGCTGCCAACCTGGACAATGTCAACGACCTTGTTCGGCAAGAGCTTCCTGCACGACTGAACGAAAGACCTTCGGATCGCATGAAAAGTCAACTCGTTGACTTTGACCACCCCAGATCTGATCTTCTCAATGCTGTCATTCAATTTCTCAATCGATTTCATGAATGACGACGCACGTTCTTTGTACATTTCCAGCTTCTCAACCTGGTCGCGAAAACCCGCCTGCTCTTCGATCGACACCTGACGCTCTTGGTCGGACTGCTGAGACCGCTCTTTGATAAGTTGTCGAAGTTTCCGCTTCACGCTGTTGTACTGCCGCTCGTCGCAAATGTCCACGCCTGTCAGTTGAACCCCTTCGCTGCTCAAAGTAGCATTACGTTCAAGCTGCTGCTAGAACAGAGGTTCGCAACAGCAGCGTTTCAAGTATTTAAAAAAAAAAAAAAAAAACAACGAATTGAATCAAACAACCTCACATCTGGTTTAGCAATGACATCTGAAACAGTGAAACTCACCTCACTCCATCTGAAGCTTGCAAGGTCCTCGTACATTTTTTGCCTTTGGGGAGTGGGGTTTCTACCTCTTGCAGTAAGTTAAGGGTGAGGTTCCATTCAAGAACGGTTGTATAGCTTGGAAGTCTGTTGGGAACAAGTGAAACAGCTGCAGTTATTGGTACTATTTGGTACTACACAGTTTTTTGTTTTACTTTTGCCTTTTTTTTTTTCCTGTTTGCTCTGCAGTTTCACCCACAGCTTCGTGCTCTGGTCAGTGGTCAGAGCTTCCTTATTATTTGGTATATAGTATATACTCACTTATTGTCAGTTATTGACATGGTAACCGCCCGGACGTCCGGACCGGGTTCCAGACAGTTCGGTGTCTGGTGTCCGGTGTCCGGTCCCCATGTCTGGATGGAGGCCCCTGGGGAAAAAATCAACAAAAAAAAAGGGCGGCCCAGGACGTTTGTCGGGTCCTAGCCACCCCTCGAAAAATAACGGGGTGATTTTTAAGTGTCCTTTCACCCCACCGGACATGGCCTAGAGCTCCAGACACAAGACACCGCAGGTTTTTGAGGTGGCGGGTTTTGCACAGGCCCGAGCAATTTCAAAGCGGCCGTTTCGACGTGGCGCCCGCCACTG